AAGGGATTCCTGACCTCTCACTCTAAGACATGTTTAAAGCTCAGGAGATGTTCTAGATCAGAGGTCATGGATTGCTGCTGGCTAATCTGGACCCAACCTGATTTAAAACATTTATAAATTACCGCATGTTGTCAGACGACAGTTTCTAAATTCACTTGCGCCTCTTCTCCTGTTAATACGGTAAAGCCCTGGGGAGCGTCCGGCTCCAGGCTGCACGTGATTCAAATGAGCCAATGAGCTGTCAGTCTGGGTTGCTGCTGCTGCTACTTTTAGACACAGCAGGCAAACCTGTGGCAAGCCGGGCGATGGGAAAGAAGGAGAAGACCATGAGAAAAAGAGAGCAGAAAAAGTGTGGACTGCTGGAAGAACTGCGGTGAACTGGTGAAAGAAAAGTGAAATGGCGTGCTCAAAGATGACCCTGCACATTTAGAGGATGTTTGGCTCAACCTGCTGCTGTGAAGCAGGATTCTCCACCATGAACAGAATCAACAATAAATCTGGATCCAGGCTCAAAATGAGCTCCTTGATATGTGCTTGAGAATGGCTTAGTCTCCGGTTAAACCCAGGTTTAAAGCCTTGCAGGGCAGCCTAAAGCCCACTGCCAACATTAAGACAGAAAAAAGAAAGGAAATAACAGTCAGTTCAGGTGTTTTATAAAAAAAAAACTGAATCAGGAAATAGTCTATAAACCAAACTGAATGATTGTTTTTCTCTACTTCTAAAATAATTTCAATTTTAAAATGGAAAAAATTTCTATTTTTTTATACCATTTAAAAATGGAATGTATAACATGGATACATAAACAGCTCTTTTTATTTCAGTTTTAACTTCTGTTTAAAGTAACAGATTAAAATTAAAAACGTCTCCAGATCTTAACTGGTTGATGATTTTATTTATCTTTAATTGGACACCGCTGTTCTATAGTGAATAAAAATCAGGGCCTCTAATATTATTTGACAATTACGTTTTGTTAAATTGCAAATGCTATAAAGTGCCCAGCTCTAATCTAAGATATTCTACTTTTTAAAAAACATATTTATTATCGCAATCTTTCCACCTCGGCTTAGCACAAAGTATTATTCTCTACTGGAAAAAAAAAAGTTCTATCCTTTTTTTTTTCTGTTTGTTTTATTTAAAACATGGATGCATAAAAATCTCTTTTTATTTCAGTGTTAAATTCTGTTTAAAGTAACAGATAATTAAAAATGTCTCTGGACCTTTTCTGGTTGATTATTTTCTTTATTCTGACCATCTGAGTTTTAATAGGTGACTCCTGGTCTAGATGAAGCAGAACCTTCTCTGCTGGGATGTTCTCTGGTGTTTGCCGTTTTCTAACTGGTGTTTCTAACTGGTTGCAGTTGATTCCAGAATGTTTCAGCTTCTGTCTCTCAGATCTGCTCTGTTCCATCTGCTGCTGGAGCAGAAGCAGCTTAGGGGTGTCAATACTTTCTGTAAGCTCCTCCAAACCGATGCAGAACCTTTTGACTTACCTCTCTGGACTGTCGGTTCCAACCTTCACATTTTAACTTTCACACAAACAGAAACAGAATAAAGACAGGTTGATACCAGAAACAGACAGCAGGGGGCAGCACTTCTGCAGGGTGGTTTATTTTCTGTAAAATGATGTGAAGGTACAGTCTGCCTCCATCCTTCTGCTGAGGACTTCACAAGTTTCAAATATATACAACATTCCCTGGTTATTATATTATTAATAAACTGAAATAAAAACATCAGTTTTTGCTCTGAAACTATAAACAACATGAAGGTGAGAAATTTTTAAACAGGTGAGTAAAAAAAAAAACGGACTTGGACAGACCCCCCCATTGGGGCGCATTCACACCCACAGACACTCAGCTCTGCTCACACATCCAATAAAACTCAACGTGAAAACAATCCGGGCTCCACGGGTTCTCAGAACCTTCTGGTTCCTGATTCATATTTTCTGATCAATCTTAAAGGAAAGGTCCGCTCAGATTCAGAATCCAAACTTCTGAAAGTTCTTTAAATCTGAAATGATTCCATCCTGTTCAATAAATGATCAGTGTTTTTAATTCAGAGTAATTTCCATTTGAATGTGCTTTACTGGAGGCATCCATGTTTGTCAAAGAACACTACTGCCACCTACTGGTTAGTGACGTCACGGTGCGGTATCGGCTGTTGATCAAGTCCCAGTGCTGTATCTGGTGTTTGTCACAACGCGCTATTATCCAAGTCATCTTGAAAACATTCTTCTTCCAAATGTTGCTTACATATTACGGGTTTTTTCTCTGGCCACACTGGAAAAAAATCAAAATCTAGATACATCATTATTTCTTAAAACAAGTGCATTTGTTCTTGAATTGAGGAGGTAAAAGATATTTTGCCAATGGAACAAGAGAATTTACTTTTAAATTAAGAAAGCACGGTTGCATTGTCTTATTTTAAGTGCATTTTATCTAAATATCTTATTTTAGGAGTAAAAATCCTCATTCCTTTGGCAAATCATTTCATTTACCAACTCAAATTAAGGGTAAATACACTTCATTTGAGACATTTTTACTTATTTCTAGATCGTTTTTTTTTTTTTTTCCAGTGCAGAAGTTCGATGGCAAATCCTCCCTCCTCTGATCATTCATGCTTTTATTCCCTCACAGTTACTTCTTTGGAGCAAGAAGCAGCTTTTCTTCGTTTCAGGCAGCGGCTCAGAGCATCGAACGCTTTACCTCCTTTTTTTAAGCTATTTGAATTTTGTTGATTCTTTTAAAAGCCACTGAAGACGCTGCTATTTAAGCAGCTTTTAATTAGACATGTGGTGTTACGACTCTATTCTCGTAAAGTTACAACTCTATTGTTGTAATGTTAAATTATTCTCGTAATGTTACAACTCTATTCTCGTAATCTTGTCTTTATTCTTGTAATGTTACGACTCTATTCTCGTAAAGTTACGATTCTATTCTCTAAAAGTTACGACGCTATTCTCGTAGTTACGATTCTATTCTCGTAAAGTTACGACTCTATTGTTGTAATGATAATTATTCTCGTAATGTTACAACTTTATTTTCGTAATCTTATGTCTTTATTCTTGTAATGTTACAACTCTATTCTCATAAAGTTACAACTTTATTCTCGTAAAGTTACGACTCTACGAGAATAGAGTCCTAACTTTACGAGAATAGAGTCGTAACTTTACGAGAATAAAGTTCTGCCTAATTTTGTAAAGTTAAGACTCTATTCTCGTGAAGTTACGAATCTATTCTCGTAAAGTTACGACTTAGGCGTCCAGGAGGCATCCTAAACAGATGCCCAAGCCACCTCAACTGGCTCCTCTCGACGTGGAGGAGCAGCGGCTCTACTCCGAGTCCCTCCCGGATGACCGAGCTTCTCACCCTATCTCTAAGGGAGAGCCCAGCCACCCTACGGAGGAAACCCATTTCGGCCGCTTGTATCCGCGATCTCGTTCTTTTCGGTCATAATGTTACAACTTTATTTTCGTAATCTTATGTCTTCATTCTTGTAATCTTACGACTTTATTCTGAAAATAGATTTTTTTTTTAATCTCTAGCCTGGCCCTAATACTCCGTCGTAGTATTCTACATAGTTTTTTTGTTTTACATTTTTACTTTTCATTTTTATTTGTGAAAAGTACTAGAAAAATAAATTTTACTTATTTACTCCCTCTTCAAGTTGGCGATCCAACGACCAACCCGTCCGTGGAGGATCAGGAATCAGAAAGGTGGAATAACTCTTTTTTTTCACTTTTACCCGATGTATTCCAGCATCCAGCTGCCATGCACGTGGGCATTGTCAGTTTCACTATAGCTCTGGTGAATTTCAATGGTGAAGTCCTCTGGAAATCTTCAATAATTGTTGTTGATTGCAGATGTGTCTAGTAGTTCCCATTGATTTAGCTTGGAAAGCGGGGAGAATGGCGCTAGGCTTACCGCACCGTGACGTCACTGCTGGAAGATGGCAGGAGGGAGGGGCTACTATATTTGGGCAAAACTGGCCGCTCCCAGACTCAGTGATCTATTTTTTTTTTTTAACTGATTAACGTTAAATTCATTAAATCACTGTGAACGTATTCGGTTTAGGGATAATTAATGATCCATTGATCATTTCCTGCTGACCGAACTTTTCCTTTAAGAGAATGAAACAAATTCCTCTTTAAACGGGACGGTTCTGATTCACCAACAGAGAGAAGGAATCTGTAGACTGAGAAGAACTGCAGAGACAAGTCCAAACGGACCGGATCAGAGACTTTAATGGTCTGAGCTTTTGGTTCGGGTTCCATCAGCTCTGGTCTGCAGGGGGCAGCACTCAGAGCTGCACACACGCATCAGAACCACTGACTGGTTCCACTTCCAGAACCATTCGGATCATCTGGGTGAGCTGGTTTCATGTTAGAACCAAAACCAGAAACGGGTTCTAGTGTGGAAGAAACCCAAACGGTAACCCGGATGAATGCGAATTAGTCCGGATCGTAATGACCAACCACGGAACCACCAGGTCCAAACCCAATCAGCTCATCCCTGTGGGGAATCTATGGACCAGATGCAGGAATCCGACCCGTTTAAAGAAGCTCTACTAGTTCTGCTCCAAAGACCGGTCCAATATTGGTCAAGGTGTATGTAAAGTTCCGACCCAGAGTGGATCAGAGGAAATGGACGGTAAATTGAAACCAGAGGGGTTCTGGTGAATCATGAACGGGTAAGAATACGTCTGAACTTCAGGAACCTGATTGGATCGGAACCTTTCCCAGCTGAATCAGGAACCGGAGCCGTTAGGACCGGTCAGGGAGGAGGAACGTAACTTTTTATCGGATCGGAACCCCATAAAACAAACGTATTTACATGTTACAGAAACAATATGGCTGAAGAAGTGGCGCAGCAGCAAGCAGAGGGGCGTGGCCAATCACAGTGAGTGGGTGGGGCTAAGGGAAAGTGCCCTGTAACCAGAGGAGGCCTCCGATTGGCTGAAATCTCAACAAAAATATAATCTCAATATTTCTAAATAATTTTAAGTTTTTTTTTTCTTTCAAAGTGCAAAAGTCCGATGGACCGCTGGTTCTGTCGGAACCAGGAGGATTCGTGTCGGGTTCCGATGAAACGGACCAGAATCTTCCTGGTTCCGGGACACGGTACCACCGCAGCTAACGGCTCGTCGCTGCAGCCGACCAGCACCAGGGTTCTGGACGCGGTCCGGGGGAATGTGGGCTTGGATCTAAAGCGGACCTCACAGAACCGGTGAGGTTCTAGTCTGATTGAACAAGATCTAGATTCTAGTTGATCCAAACTAGATTTCTGTGACCCGGTTTCTCCTAAAGTAAGGCGATAAGTATCGGCATCGATATGTTTCTGACCCAGACGGTCCCGGGTGAACCCGATCCAGACTGCGGTTTGGATCGCCGGTTCTGCAGGCTTTCTGAAAGGTTCAGTAGAACCGAGTTCAGGGCGGTCCGGTAACGCTACGCCTCAGACTTTTGGATGGCAGTCAGTTTCCATCCTTTCAGCCGTTCAGTTCTGAGGTGAGGGAACTGGACCCTGAAGCAGAACCGGACCGCCCCATTCTCCTCTCAGAACAAAAAAGGGTGTAAAACCAACCAGAGAGTTCTGGAGGATCAACTGTTAGTGGGCCGAGCCTCACCTGGTTCAGAACCACAGGACTGTAGATCAGTTTTTCTAACCTTTTCAAAATAAAAGCTCCTGTTTAACTTCCTGTTCTCAGTAAAGACCGAAGCTGCGTGTTCTGGTCGGGCTGCCGGGTTCTAATAACGTCAGGCGGGGCAGAAAGCTGTTTGAATCGAAGGTTCTGATCCGTCTGGATCAGCGGGTGACCTAGTTTTCAGCAGAGCAGTAAGAGAGGAGAACCGGCCTGCGGACTTCCTGGGCTGCTGCCGGGCCTGTTCTGGAGGGGGAAACAGAACCAGTTTGTCAGGCAGAACCTGCTCTAGGCGGGTTCTGAAATGGCACTTAGAACTGCAGGAACCCGGTGATCTGCTGAGGCGTCGCAGTCAGAACCCCGTTGGACTCCATGGCTGAGTTCCTGTTAAAGTGGCTGATGGGCCGGGCCGGGTCGGGTCGGCGCCCAGAGCCGACTGCATGCATAAGAAAGCTCCTCGAAGCGCTGCTGGTTGGGGTCGGAGGCGCTCCGGCACCACGCTGAGGCGCTGACAGGAATCAGAATCCATTTGACCTCCGACCTTTGACCTCAGCTCTGGGTGGGTGGGGTAGGAGGGGGAAGGGGCGGCACCGTTCACTTGAGCCGGTCGGACCGGAACGAGTCCTCCACGGCCGGGTCAGCCAGCATCAGGTCCCCCTCCAGCATGTCCAGAGACAGCGGGTCCATCCGGAGCTGCTCGTCCAGAGAGAACGGGTCCATCTCGAAGCCCGGCACGTGGGACAGAGCGCTGGCGATCTCCTTGGACAGGCCTGTGGGAGAGTCCCCTGGGGCGGGGCGGTACCACAGAACACAGATCAGGTCTTCATACCAAACTACTGGCGAATGGATGAAAGGAGCGGTTCTGTTGGGCCGGTACCTGTGAGGATGATGTTGGGAACGTGTTGCCGGCCGTCGCCGCTGTAGTTCTGGTTCTGGTTGTTGAGCTGCTGCTGCTGCTGGTCCCCGGGTTCCTGCAGATCCAGGGGCCCCTGGCTGTTGGAGGGGTACTGGTTCTGGCCCAGTCCACAGTGGTTCTGGCTCAGTCCGCTGTGGTTCAGGGAAAGACCGTCTGCTGGGTTCTCAGCTGTGAACTGGAACAGAGGAGAACGGGTTTGGTTAGCTCGGGTAATTCTAATTTAATGCTCAACAAGTACCCATATACATATATATATATATATATACACATATACATATATATATACACCGGTATATATATATATACACATATACATATATACACATATGCACATATACATATATACGTATACATATATATATATACATACACATATACATATACACATACACACACATATATATATACACACATATACATATATGCATACATACATATATATACACATATACATACATACATACATATACATACATACACACATATATATATATATATATATATATATATATATATATAATCCTTTGTCATCTTTACCATCAACAGGCTGCAGCCATGTCTCCTGATTTCCTTGTTTTTCAGCAACTTTTGTTGAAACTTGCGTTCTCCGATTCTGTAGCTTTTTCTCCGTCTAGAGCTTCTTTTTCAAACATACGATTTTACGATCAACCGGAAGCAGTCCCGCGCAAACACGCCGAACCAGTTATATCTGTACAACGCAGCATGTGGGCCAGGCTAGAGATTTTTTTTTTTACATTTTGAGAATAAAGTCGTAATATTATGAGAATAAAGTAATAAAATTATGAGATTAAAGTCGTAATATTACAAGAATGAAGTAATATTATGAGAAATTAGTCAAAAGAATGTCAAAAAATTACGAGAATAAAGTCGTAACTTTACAAGAATAAAGTAATGAAATTATAAGATTAAAGTCGTAATATTACAAGAATAAATAGTATTATGAAAAATAAGTCACAAAAATGTCATAAAAATTACGAGAATAAAATCGTAACTTTACGAGAATAAATTAATAAAATTATTAGATTAAAGTCGTAATAGTACGAAAAAAAAGTAATATGAGAAATAAGTCACAAGAATGTCAAAAAAATTACGAGAATAAAGTCGTAACTTTACGAGAATAAATTCATAAAATTATGAGATTAAAGTCGTAATAGTCCGAAAAAAAAGTAATATGAGAAATAAGTCACAAAAATGTCAAAAAAATTACGAGAATAAAGTAGTTACAGAACAAGAATAAAGTCGTAACAATATGAGAATAAAGTAATAAAATTACAAGACTAAAGTCGTATTTTATTACAACTCCTACAAGAATCACTTTCTTCCCTAAAATGAGGAATGTGGAGCATCATGTGAAGTTCTACTTTAGCATCGGTTTGACTAATCAGGAAATCTTTTAGCAGCAGCATCAAACTGTGCAGGATGTCAAAGTGGACTCTGGTTGCTGATTGGTGGAGCTGGTCGGCCGTCATCTGCTGGGCGGAGCTCCAAGCTTTCTTTCTAAAATGGGTTGTGGTTTGATTGATTTTATGCTAGTAATGTTACGTCTTTATTCTCAAAATAAAAAAAATAAAAAAATCTCTAGCTTGGCCCTTATACTTCATCATAATATCTGGTATATCTGATCTCACAATAATGCCACAATAATAAAGTTTAATGAATTTTTATGGAATTAAGGCCATCATTTAAAAAATAATTGAATGACTTTTAATGATTTTTAATGACCCTGGGAACTGGACCGGACCGGACCTGTGGTAAGCAGGGTTTCTGTCTCTTTAACCTCTTTGTTCTGCTGCCTATTGAGCAGATCAGTTGGGATCGGGTCATAATGAACCTCTGGACCTCCACTGTCAGGTCTCTGTTGAAGACCTTCAATGGGGACCGGAAGTTTATTCCGGAAGTTCTATTCAAAGCCTTCGGGAACAGAGCGCCGGACATGTTTGCAGCTGGATTAGAGTTTATTTAGAGTTTATGACAGTGTTCCTTATCCATCCAGCGATCCAAATACTGACTTATTTCTATGTTCTATATATCTATTATTTTAGATTGGAGTTTGGTAGGGAGTAAAATGGTGCGTGTACATACGTTTCCAGCATAACTGTAACTATCCGATCCGTCCCTGAAGCATGATCCATCCTGCGCTGCGCTAACACAATCATAAGATCCGGATTGCCAAAAAACTACGTATTTAATAACAGTACTAAAAATACTTATTTATATACGTAAAACATTAAAGACAAGAACAATTTAAGGTCAGATTGCCACACGCTTAAAAAAACACAGATAACTAAGTAGTTTAATAGTTGTTTTTTACATGACTAACATGCAGCTGAGGTAGTTTAAAGTGTTTTTTTATTATAAAACTAAGGGGATAAAAGAGTGTTGACTATGGGTATGCTGGTCTGACCGGATATGCTGACAGAACACCGGCGCCATCGGGTACATTGTTTGTTGTTTTGTTTGACCCGCTGGTAGCAGGAAACACCATGAGGATCCGAGCTGAAGGGGGTCAGAACCTTACCTGCTGACCGGGTTTTCCTGAGAGCTGCAGGCTCAGGTACGGGTCATCCAGCAGGGAGCTGAACAAGGCATCCTGGAAGAGAACAAACCCAGTCAGCTTCTCTTAACTCACAACAACTGGAGGAACATCAACATTAGCAAGAAACCTAAACTAAAATCAGATAACTGTTATGTTATTAATTCAACTTAAAGGCAGTGAGCAGAGGCTCAGTCTTTATGAATAAAATACGTTTACATCCAACTATTTAATTAAGGGGAATCAGTGGAAGCTTTGCACCTGAGGCTCAGGTTCAACAGGGAAACAGAGGAGTCGCTCGTCCATCTTTGACTACGGAAACGGGCGCTGTAGCTACCAGATCTGCTGGGGTCCTGCTTTATGCCAGCGACGTTACGCTACATGACGTAAAAAACGTTGTGGTTGCCCAGACAACGATAACATCACACAGCGTCAGGGTGAACAAAGTAACTGTTAGACCATGATATAAAGAGCTGGGTAGCGCTGTGGCTAGCTGGGCTCAGTAGCTAACAGGTTAGCCTCTTTTAGCTCGGTCAGTTAAGGCTGACCGATAGTCAGGGTTTTTTTGAGGTGCGAGGGGGCATAAACTGGCCTTTAATGTTTCTAAAAGTGCTTTATAAGCAGATGAAAGGTTATTTCTAAGACCACCGCCTCTCGTTTTTATTTTTTCTTTGTCCATGCTGGGACAGCTGTCAGTCTGCTCTGATGCATGCTGGGTAAAGAGGGAGGGGTGAGAACAACACCCGGGGACTTCTAACTGTTCTCAATCTTGTGTTCTTGTGAATTGGAACAGGACTAGGGCTGAGGCTGATGACGTTTCACAAACACATTAGAACAATCAAGTACACGTAGTGAGAAAATGGCATCAGAACTATGATTAAGCTAAGATAAGCAGAACCATGATCTGCTTATCTTAGACATAGACAGATATATTTTGTCATCTTGTTTTGTTTACATAAGTGTAAACAAAAAGAAATTTAGTTTAGAACAGCTCTGTAGAAATCATCTTTTTAAAGTGCAGCCTAGATGAGGTCAGCAGCAGTTGTTGTTGAGCTGCTACTACTGCCTAGAGCTCCTGAAGCACTCGCTTCTCCTGGCTCAGGGGAGGAAGAGGAATATGATGACGATGCTGTGAGAGTGGTCGCCCCCTGGGTTGAAGAGGCTGACGTGGTTGGAGCAGCTGTGGAGCCATCGGCAGGTTTAGCAGCGACAGACGATGCTGGAGAAGGTGTGGAAGCCAGAGGGGGCCGGGAGGAGCCGGCTGGGGATGTTTCAGCATTTGGCAGGGAAGCATCTAGAGTGCTCTCCTCATTTTCACCTGCAGAGGGCAGTGCTTCGCCGCTAGAGGCTGAAGATTGCATGGGAATGTAGCAGAGGAGCCTCCATTCACGCAGAGCTCTTTGTTTCTATCCGTGCGGTACAGCATTAGCCCCTCCAGGCTAATAGCATCGTCCGGTATTGCTGGACGCAGCCAAGACCCCGTCAGAATGATGGCGCAGCAGTTACATATCTCCTTTTGAAAAGAGTTCAAGTCGGAGATTATCCATTTTGTTTTCCAACGAGCGGATGTTGGAGAGCAGGATTAATGGAAGCGGCGGTCTGTGGGGATTTCTCTTTAGCTTCTCAGTTAGCCCCCCTCTGCAGCCTTGCTGTTGTCTTGTTGACATCCGTCTGTAGCACTCCGCAACTTTTTAAATGGTCAATAATGTCAGTATTTAAAACGTTTTGTGACCGTAGCTCCAGCAGGCGATCTGTTATGATTATCTGTTCTTCATTTTTCATTTGGATGAAATAATAGCTGCATGAATCATGACAGCAGACAAGATAGAGGAGAGCAGGAGGCGGGGTTACCAATCTACTCGCTCTGGAGAGCAGAGTTCGCTGCTTTTAGATATTGTCTCCAAAGTCTCCAGCAGCAGGAAAAAGTCTCTAGATTTGGCGCTAGGAGCTTTTTAGAAATCAAAGTGCTAGAGGGGTCTGAAAAGTGGCTAAATATAGCGACTAAAGCGCTAAGTTGGCAACACTGCTCTTTGCATGGTTTGTTTTCAAATGGTTTGCTGCTGTCTGTTTGGACCTTTCTGAACATGTGCAGCAAATGGACTGATCCAATATGGTGGACACTGAAGGGGCGGGGCTGAGACACACTTAATATTATCAGCGTTCTGATGGTATTTTAGCAAAAGGATTTGAATCAAAAACATTATTAATGTGTAAAAAATAAGGAATAATTGTATTAACATTCATGTAAACAGAGGTTTATGGGGCCCCCAGGAACTTGGGGCCCTAGGCACCTGCCTAGTATTGCCTGATAAAACGATCCAGTCAGCTGGATTCTGTTGGGACCAAGCTGAGGGTTTCTGTCCGCAGGGTTCTGCTCTAATCCTTGTTGGTGATGCTGGTCCGTGTTCTGGTCCAGAGAAGAACCAGAACGACAGATCGGGTCAATGTTAGCGCCGTGCTAACATCAGACATCGCTGCGAACACACCAGACCTTTGCAGAATTAACTCACGTTGTAGAAGTCTGTGTTCAGGTTGATCTGCTGCTGCTGCTGCTGCTGAGGAGAACCACCAACCCGCTGCTCCAGGTCCGCTTTGACCCGGCACAGAGAAGACGTCTGGATGCACGGTTCCACAGCGCCCTCCGACTTCACCCCCGTGTTCTGCTGCGTTCCCATGGGCCTCTGAGGCTGCGGAGGAGCAGAACCGGGTTAAAACATCAGAAAACAGTCCTTCCGGAGCAAATCAGGCACTCCACACCCACCGATCCAAAGTGCTGCTGAAGGTGCTGGTTCCGCAGGTTCTGCAGGTGGAGCTGCTGCTGCTGCTGGGCGTTTGATCTTGGCTGCTGGAGGCGGTGCTGACCCAGAGAATGGGCCTGCTGTCCAGACTGGGAACCGGGCTGGTGCTGGTGGGACTGGCTGAGCGGGTACGGAGGGAGGCGCTGGTCCAAAGGCAGCTTGCTGGTGTCCAGAGGGACGCCCTGCGGGGGACAGACAGGAAGGCAGCTAACATGCAGTGAAAGAGAGACGTCTTAAACAGGGACAGCAGCAATAGGACCAGGGTCCAATAACAGCTGGAGGATTTAACCAGCGTCTGACTGACGTCACAAAATCTGCTAAAACGCTGCAGGATGCTGAACTTTCTATGGAATTATTCTATTCTGGGTTTATAGAGAAATCCATCCATCATCCATCCATCCATCATCCATCCATCCATCCATCCATCCATCCATCCATCCATCCATCCATCATCCATCCATCCATCCATCCATCATCCATCCATCCATCATCCATCCATCCGTCCATCCATCCATCCATCATCCATCCATCCGTCATCCATCCATCCATCCATTCATCCATCCGTCCATCCATCCATCCATCCATCCATCAATCCATCCATCCATCCGTCATCCATCCATCCATCCATCCGTCATCCATCCATCCATCCGTCATCCATCCATCCGTCATCCATCCATCCATCCATCCATCCATCCATCATCCATCCATCCGTCCATCATCCATCCATCCATCCATCCGTCCATCCTCCTTCCGTCATCCATCCATCCATCCATCCATCCATCCATCCGATCATCATCCATCCATCCATCCATCATCCATCCATCCATCCATCCGATCATCATCCATCCATCCATCCGTCCATCCATCATCCATCCGTCCATCCATCATCCATCCGTCCATCCATCCATCCATCCATCACCCATCCATCCATCCATCCATCCGTCCATCCATCCGTCCATCCATCCATCCGTCATCCATCTATCCATTCATCCGTCATCCATCCATCCGTCAACCATCCATCCATCCATCCATCCATCATCCATCCGTCAACCATCCATCCATCCTTCAACCATCCATCCATCCGTCAACCATCCATCCATCCGTCAACCATCCATCCATCCGTCAACCATCCATCCGTCAACCATCCATCCATCCATCCATCCATCCATCCATCATCCATCCATCCGTCATCCATCCATCCGTCCATCCATCCGTCCATCCATCCATCCGTCATCCATCCATCCATCCATCCATTCATCCATTCATCCGTCATCCATCCATCCGTCAACCATCCATCCATCCATCATCCATCCGTCAACCATCCATCCATCCGTCAACCATCCATCCATCCATCATCCATCTATCCATCATCCATCCATCATCCATCCATCTATCCTCCATCCATCCGATCATCATCCATCCGTCCTCCATCCATCCATCATCCATCCGTCCTCCATCCATCCATCATCCATCCATCCATCCATCATCCATCCATCTATCCATCCATCCATCCATCCGTCATCCACCCATCCATCCATCATCCATCCATCTATCCATCATCCATCCATCCATCATCCATCTATCCATCATCCATCTATCATCCATCCATCCATCCATCCATCATCCATCCATCCATCATCCATCTGTCATCCATCCATCTATCCATCATCCATCCATCCTCCATCCATCCGACCATCATCCATCCATCTATCCATCATCCATCCATCATCCATCTATCCATCATCCATCCATCCATCATCCATCCATCATCCATCCATCCATCCATCCATCCATCCATCCATCCTCCATCCATCATCCATCTGTCATCCATCCATCTATCCATCATCCATCCATCATCCATCCATCCTCCATCCATCCATCATCCATCCATCATCCATCTATCCATCATCCAACTATCCATCATCCATCCATCATCCATCCATCTATCCATCATCCATCCATCATCCATCTGTCATCCATCCATCTATCCATCCATCATCCATCTGTCATCCATCCATCTATCCATCATCCATCCATCCATCCATCCATCCATCATCCATCCATCCATCATCCATCCATCCATCATCCATCCATCCATCCATCCATCATCCATCCATCTATCCATCATCCATCTGTCATCCATCTGTCATCCATCCATCTATCCATCCATCATCCATCCATCCATCCATCATCCATCATCCATCCATCCATCCATCCGTCATCCATCCATCCATCTATCCATCATCCATCCATCCATCATCCATCCATCTATCCATCATCCATCCATCCATCCATCATCCATCCATCTATCCATCATCCATCCATCCATCATCCATCATCCATCCATCCATCATCCATCCATCTATCCATCATCCATCCATCCATCATCCATCCATCCATCCATCCATCCATCATCCATCCGTCCATCTATCCATCATCCATCCATCCATCATCCATCCATCCATCCATCCATCCATCATCCATCCGTCCATCCATCCGTCAACCATCCATCCATCCGTCAACCATCCATCCATCCGTCAACCATCCATCCGTCAACCATCCATCCATCCGTCAACCATCCATCCATCCGTCAACCATCCATCCGTCCATCCATCCATCATCCATCCATCCATTCATCCGTCATCCATCCATCCATCCATCATCCATCCGTCAACCAACCATCCATCCGTCAACCATCCATCCGTCAACCATCCATCCATCCGTCAACCATCCATCCATCCGTCAACCATCCATCCGTCCATCCATCCATCCATTCATCCGTCATCCATCCATCCATCCATCATCCATCCATCCATCCGTCAACCATCCATCCATCCGTCAACCATCCATCCGTCAACCATCCATCCATCCATCATCCATCCATCCATCCGTCCATCATCCATCCATCCATCCATCCATCCGATCATCATCCATCCGTCCTCCATCCATCCGTCCTCCATCCATCCATCATCCATCCATCATCCATCCGTCCATCCATCATCCATCCATCATCCATCCATCCATCCATCCATCATCCATCCATCATCCATCCATCCATCATCCATCCGTCCATCCATCCATCCATCCATCATCCATCCATCCATCATCCATCCATCCATCCATCATCCATCACCCATCCATCATCCATCCATCCATCATCCATCCATCATCCATCATCATCCATCATCCATCCATCATCCATCCATCATCCATCCATCCATCATCCATCCATCCATCATCCATCCGTCATCCATCCATCATCCATCCATCCATCCATCTATCCATCATCCATCCATCCATCATCCATCCATCATCCATCCATCCATCTATCCATCATCCATCCATCTATCCATCATCCATCCATCCATCCATCCATCCATCCATCCATCATCCATCCATCATCCATCCATCCATCCATCATCCATCCATCTATCCATCCATCATCCATCCATCCATCCATCATCCATCATCCATCCATCATCCATCCATCCATCCATCCATCCGTCATCCATCCATCCATCCATCATCCATCCATCCATCATCCATCCATCTATCCATCATCCATCCATCCATCCATCATCCATCCATCTATCCATCATCCATCCATCCATCATCCATCCATCCATCATCCATCCATCTATCCATCATCCATCCATCCATCATCCATCCATCCATCCATCCATCATCCATCCGTCCATCCATCCGTCAACCATCCATCCATCCGTCAACCATCCATCCATCCGTCAACCATCCATCCGTCAACCATCCATCCATCCGTCAACCATCCATCCATCCGTCAACCATCCATCCGTCCATCCATCCATCATCCATCCATCCATTCATCCGTCATCCATCCATCCATCCATCATCCATCCGTCAACCAACCATCCATCCGTCAACCATCCATCCGTCAACCATCCATCCATCCGTCAACCATCCATCCGTCAACCATCCATCCGTCCATCCATCCATCATCCATCCATCCATCATCCATCCATTCATCCGTCATCCATCCATCCATCCATCATCCATCCATCCATCCGTCAACCATCCATCCATCCGTCAACCATCCATCCGTCAACCATCCATCCATCCATCATCCATCCATCCATCCGTCCATCATCCATCCATCCATCCATCCATCATCCATCCATCCATCCATCATCCATCCATCCGTCCTCCATCCATCCGTCCTCCATCCATCCATCATCCATCCATCATCCATCCGTCCATCATCCATCCATCCATCATCCATCCATCATCCATCCATCCATCCATCCATCATCCATCCATCATCCATCCATCCATCCATCATCCATCCATCCATCCATCCATCCATCATCCATCCATCATCCATCCATCCATCCATCCATCATCCATCCATCATCCATCCATCCATCCATCCATCCATCCATCATCCATCCATCATCCATCCATCATCCATCCATCATCCATCCATCCATCATCCATCCATCCATCATCCATCCGTCATCCATCCATCATCCATCCATCCATCATCCATCCATCATCCATCCATCATCCATCCATCCATCCATCCATCCATCATCCATCCATCATCCATCCATCCATCTATCCATCATCCATCCATCTATCCATCATCCATCCATCATCCATCCATCCATCCATCCATCCATCATCCATCCATCCATCCATCATCCATCCATCCATCCATCATCCATCCATCCATCCATCATCCATCCATCATCCATCCATCCATCCATCCATCCATCATCCATCCATCCATCATCCATCCATCCATCATCCATCATCCATCCATCCATCATCCATCCATCATCCATCCATCATCCATCATCCATCCATCATCCATCCATCATCCATCCATCATCCATCCATCCATCCATCATCCATCCATCATCCATCCATCATCCATCCATCCATCCATCCATCCATCATCCATCATCATCCATCCATCCATCCATCCATCCATCCATCATCCATCCATCCATCATCCATCCATCCATCCATCCATCATCCATCCATCCATCCATCATCCATCCATCATCCATCCATCCATCCATCCATCATCCATCCATCCATCATCCATCCATCCATCATCCATCCATCCATCATCCATCCATCATCCATCATCCATCCATCCATCATCCATCCATCATCCATCATCCATCCATATCTTTGTTGTTGGATCAGAACCATCTTCAGCCCCATAAATAGAAGCGTCTGTAATCGGCGGCCATGTTCTCAGGTGTGACTCTTACCTGTGAGATGGAGGACAGGGTGGGGGAGATGGTGGGGGAGAACTGTTTGGAGTGATGCCTCCGTGACTCCCCCACCATCGGCAGGATGAGCGGGGACAGCTGGGCTCGTCTCCGTGGCGACGTGCTGAGGGACGGTTGGCCCTGACCGGCGAGCATCCCTGTGTAGGGGGAGGGGCCTGATCCAGCCACACCCACTCCGCCGCCGTAGCTCGAGTTACTTCCCGACTGGAGGGAGGAGTTACTGAGGGACGACTGCAGCGATTGGTTGCTTAGGGACGGGGGCAGGGAGGGGGAGGAACTGAGCGACGACTGCAGCGATGGGTTGCTGAGGGACGAGTGAAGGGAGGAGGAGCTTAGAGAGTTGGAGAAGGAGTGGCTGCTGAGGGACGACTGGATGTTGGGGTTGCTCAGCGACGACTGCAGGTTGGGGTTACTGAGCGTGCTCTGTAACGACGCCAGGAGCCCTGAGGGAGGAGAGCAGAGGGTTAGCGGGGAAATGTCCAGAAAGGAATCTCTCTTCCAAACCAGAAGATTTCAATCTATAACATTTCAATAAAAGTCATTCAATCACTGTTTAGTTACAGATGGTCTAAATCCTACTTCATGCTGATGATGCTTCTCTGCCGACGCAGAACAAAACTTTAGTGATAATCGATCAAATAGAAGCAAACTTTATGGTAACGCAGAAAAAAACCCAACAAACCAGGAATGGAAACTCTGCATAGAGACGCATCAACCAGAGAATCAGAAGTGAGCTGAGCAGGCAGCAGGTAGCCCTGCAGACACGGAAACCCCTGCATGTTATCTGCTCATCTGACCTTTAACCTCCCACTTCTCGCTTGGCTGCGAACATTTCAGATGCTGATCAGGACCCTGAGAGGCTCTGTGGGCATCCAGAGCGTCCGGTTTCAGCTGGGTCTTCCCCTCATGCTATCTGTCCGTTTCCTGCAGGCTAAATACAGCAAATCTTAAGCTAAAGTTAAAAACTTCTAACACCTTTTTAAATAGTCACATTTTGCTTTAGTCTAAACCAACTTTTTGACTCTGGTTAGGAGGAAATATCTAGAAATTTATTGAAAACAAACATTTATTTATTTATTTTTTTTTACTTTTGCAACTTTTTATTAGCCTGACGTAGTCCTACTCAATTCTAGTCAGAATGAGTCTGATGCTGCTCCATAGAGCTGTGATTATGGGGCGTGTTTTGAACGAACCAGGAAAAAAATGCCTTTGCACTCAATTGGATAGACCTACAACCAATAAGAGCAACGGAGTGCGTGACGTATGTTAAGCGAGGCATAGTTGTTGTCCACAAAAAATCAAAGCGTGCAGTTTCACGCCTAGAATAAGAAGATGAGACTTGATCGCGTTTCTCTGTTCCTCTTTTAAAATTAATTTGCTGTCGATATCTTCTAGAACAGACCTAATAGCAGAATCTACTCACCTCAACTCTCCAGCGGCAGCCATTATTGTTGTCACCCAAGCGCGCTTTGGTCACGTGGTTGATAACGTTACTCTTGATCATCTGTCCATCATCGTATAAAGCCCGCCCTGACAATTTGATTGGATCGCCTGACAGTGGGCTTTAATACTCGCGCTACTATGGAGCAGAGCCAGACCGAACTTCCCCGAACTCAAACCTTGTGGGCGGGACCAGGCGCGCTGGAAGCTGTTTCAAGCGAGGGGGGCTGATGGCTGGGTTGGAAAACACATGACGTCATTATGTTGAGGGCTGTGGCTGACGTTTTTAACATAATATTGTAGGCCTACATTTGTCTCAAAAAACTTCCATTTAAAATGCATCGGAACAAAGCATGAACATTTTAAACTTTATTTCTTCTCTTTTAATCATTCAAAACAAACAACAGCTCCCAATCAACAGGATCATGAATACTTGAATAAAACATGGCCTAAATATAGCCTAAACTGAGCATTGAACGTCTTGAAAGTCCATTCGACTATGGATATGGGGGAATGATTTCATATCTAAAACAAAAAACACACACACACAAAAAAAAAATTAACTAATTTAATATTTATATAATATTTAGTGATATGCAGCCTTATTCTAGCGTAGACTTCTTCAGCCACAGGACTAAGATGAATAGGCACATAAATAATGCTAAATGCGGCAGTATAGGGGAATTAAAACCATTTCTTACCTCGAAATTGTCAGAAAGACGTTTCTGCTGCCTATTGCTAGCCAAGCCTAAATGAATGTGAGGTGGTGGATGCTTCTGGGGGAGTAGCCTAGTTTTTTTATGAAATATCAAAATAATGAATCATTTGTTTATATCTTATACACAGCCCATTATTTTAATCCCATATCAAACACAGTCTTTTAAAAAATAAATACATAAATAATTTCATGTTTTTAAGTACAATATTATGTTACTCCACAGCCCCCCACCATGGGGGGCTGATGCTATGACGAGGGAGGCTGCAGCCCCCACAGCACCCCCCTTCCCGTGCCACTGGGCGGGACTAAGTTCGGACTGGCACCCAGGCTAACTTTTTATTCAAATTAAAGGATAAATTATTATTTTGACTTAATAGAAACACTGATCCTTTATTTGTTTTTTAAAACAGGGCTGCAGATACTGATTATTTTGCTACTCGTTTAATCGACAATTATTATTTTTTTGGACAGTAGGCTGAGAGGAAAGGGGATTTGATAGACGGGGGAAAGATATGTGGCCACATACGGGATTCGAACCCAGGTCATCAAGGATTAACGCCTGCGTGCGCTAACCACTGCGCCACCTGCATGCACATAAATAAAAAATTAATCTTTAAAGCTCTTATCCAGAATAAAAGACAGTTGCAGCTCAAATTAAGCCTCTTACGTGGTTCTGGACAAAGATTATTACCAGACGTTTCCCCTGAAATTTAAAATGTTTTTATTTTTTTAAAGTCGTAGGGAAGCGGCTGTTCCAAACGTCGCATTTCCGAATTCTCCCGAGTGGTGTCCGACTTTACACGAGTGAATAAAGTGAATGTGATTGGTCGATTATCAAGGGGCGGGGTTGTTGTGGCGGAAGGTTCGCAAGCAAGTTTGGTTGTGGCCGGTTTGTGGGAAGCATCTTGCTAACCAGTTAGCAACTTAGTGTTACTTGGTCCCAATGGGAAATTCCATTGGGACCAAGTAACACTAAATTGGTGACTTAGAAACGACGCTGTCAAGGAACGCTATGGACACAGAGTTCCTACAGCATAAGGCGAGTTAAATTCAAGACTTTTTTAGACTTTTTAATGCCACTTGAAATAAAAATTTAAGACCAAATTCACAAGAAACACAAGAAAAACCTGCTTGCAACAACTTAACCCAAAGGTTTATTTTAACATAAACCACTGCACTAATGTTTCAAATGTTGAAAAGCTTCCCATACAGGAAGAAAGCTAAAAACACACAAATGACAGATATATTTGAACAATTATTTAACTGAATTCACAAACTTTGTTTTAGCAGGGAACAAAACAAATCAGTTTTAAAGCCCCAACATAACCAGTGCTAAGTCTTTTTTGCAGCTATTTTTCTTTGTATGGTTTTCTTAGTATGTTTGATTTGGTGATAAGTGGAGGCGTTGCAGAGACAAGGGTGGAACTAAACTGAGAAATACCGGCTGTTTCTCTGTAACTCCATTTTGACGCTTTGTGTTTCGTGCTTCGCATGTGCGACTCCACTGCCTTAATTCCCATCGTTCCGAGCTTGAATGACTTCTTGCACTAAATCCACTGAGCCTCATGCATGTTCCCTGGTTTTAGCCGTGGTGAAAATTAGGGACGATATTGGGATTTTGGAGGATATGAAACTCGTGTAGCCGATAACCGATATCGATACCGATGTTAAAGCTGGACAAAAATAAGTAGTCATTGAAAATAGCAGTTTTGTTATCCATTTCTGACACTTTGAAAAATAATATACTCAAATATATTTTCATATGCTGATATCAAATAGATTTTTAAAAACGCGGTATCGATCTATTTTACTTTCAAAATCTGGTGAAATGTCATCGTTCTGTTACAAACTCTCGTGATATTTTGCAAATTCTTGTGAGATTTTGTTAGTAAAATAGATCGATACCGCGTCAATATATCAACATATAAAAATATGGCAACATTTGGTGAATTTTCGGGGGATTTCATAGCATAATGATGACATATAGCAATATTTCATTAGTAAAAGAGATTGATATGGTGTTTTTAAATGGCAATATATCAGCATATGAAGATATTGGGATATTTTAATGGATCAATATTTTTTCCCTCGTCTTTAGAAGTTTTTAAGTCTGTAAAAATGTTTTTGAGGAAGAAGAAGAAGTTTTTATTTTTTATTTTTTTTTAGACTTTAGAAACTCAGAAGCTGATCAAATATCGGGTTAAATATCGGTGGGGGGGCCGATGTCCGATATTCAGTTTTAAGGCCGATACCGATAGGGGGCCGATTATATCGTGCATCCCAAGAGAAAACTCTTGGCTGGAGCAAATTTTGGTTACATTTACACTTGCTCATATTTTCCAGACAAAAAGTTAATGGTGCATCTCCCAAATGTCCCGGCCGCAACAACGCTTTTATTGGTTCCGCTATCGGGATGGAACCAATAATGCCGAGCCGTTATTTTTTTTTAAATAAAAAAAAAAAGTCTATTTGAATGTTTTATTTAGATTACAAAAATAAATCGTAATAAAAATAATCCCATTTATGATGTTTTAAAAATTAAGACCTACGAAAGACTGATTTAAGACATTTTAATACCAATTAAGGCCTTAGTTTTATTTTGAAGAATTCAATGCCTTTTAAGACTTTTCAAGGACCTGTGTGAACCCTGGGACAGCGGAAACAAATTCCTGCACCGACATTAAACTGGATCCTTTTCTTTAACCGCCTTTTTAAACAACATAGTCCCTTATTTACGGCCGAGTCTGTGCCGAGGACACGCCTGCACGGCGTTCAGCCTGACCACTCGATGCCACGGCTCTCTGAGGTCCTTCTCACACATTAAAATGATCAAATGTTCATTCGTTTATTTTTTTTTTCAGGGCTTTAACACAAATGGGAGGAAAATAAGTCGTAGAGTTGGGAGGCATTAAAAAATAATTCATCGGGTCACTTTTTGCTGATTTTCTTTACTTCCTTTTAACACCTTTATCAACCGAGCAGACAGGCTGTTCTAAAGAAAACAAAAATCAGATCTGGGTTCAGATCTGTTGAGGCTGAGCTCAGAATGGCTTCCTGTCTGTGGTCCGTGCAGTCGCCTCACAGGCAAACGAAAAACGCCAACATTTTCCGACTAAAAGAACTCTAAGGTTAAATTTAGAGATTCACCCCAAACACTCCCCTCTGCTTCACGTCACATGCTTTCTCTGCTGAACCCTCTGATGAGTCACTCAGTTTGATTTTGGCTCTGCTACGACCTCAGAAACAAAGATGGAAGCATCGTGGTTCCGGTCTGTGAACCACGCCGCCATCAGGGGAGCTTCTGATCCAACAGGTCAGATCGTTTCCTCTGAGAACACGATGGCACAAACATCTCCAGAACAAACGGCTGTTTTGGACCTGATGATAAAATTTTGCTTTATCTTATATCTTTATTCAAATATTAATATGAATAAATAAAAACCCATTTAAGATTCAACTTCCCTCTCTTTTTTGTCTTTTTTTTAGAGATTTAAGCTCATTTCCTGTCAGAAATTAATTTATAATGTGTAGCCGTCAGGTATAAACACTTTCAGGTTCATCCAAACCGCTGCAGGTCAGCGACTCGATGCAATTTAAAATATTTCTCCTGAACTCTCAGGGTGATCTGAGCGGACTGACCGGGGAGACAAAATAAAATGGAGTCGAGGAAACCTGAACTTTCAGGCAGGGGTGGATTTAGGAAATGTGGGGCCCTAGGCAAAGACAGGCATAAAACAGAGCCATTCTCCAGATGTAGAAATGTTAATAGAATAGACATCCGTGATCTGTTCTAGGTTGTGTCCCTCTCTTCTTGTCCCTTTTCTTCTTGTTTTCCTCTCTATGTTTTGTACTCAGCTGACTTTTCATGCTGTCTCTAAAGGAATGAAAGATTTTTTCCAAGCACTAAGCTCACTTAGCTGATTGCTCCTTCCTGTGTTTCCAAAAAGGCCAAAGTAAATAACCCAGTCCTTCTTTTCACTGTAGACAAGCCATGATCTGCTTATCTGTTCTCCATTTTTCATTTGGATGAAATAATAGCTGCATGAATCATGACAGCAGACAAGATAGAGGAGAGCAGGAGGCGGGGTTACCAATCTACTCGCTCTGGAGAGCAGAGTTCGCTGCTTTTAGATGTTGTCTCCAAAGTCTCCAGTAGCAGAAAAAAGTCTCTAGATTTGGCGCTAGGAGCTTTTTAGAAATCAAAGTGCTAGAGGGGTCTGAAAAGTGGCTAAATATAGCGACTAAAGCGCTAAGTTGGCAACACTGCTCTTTGCATGGTTTGTTTTCAAATGGTTTGCTGCTGTCTGTTTGGACCTTTCTGAACATGTGCAGCAAATGGACTGATCCAATATGGTGGACGCTGAAGGGGGGGGGGCTGAGACACGCTTAATATTATCAGCGTTCTGATGGCATTTTGCAAAAGAATATTTATTAAAAACATAATTAATCTGCAGAAATAAGGAATAGTTGTATCAATCATACATGGAAACAGAGTTTTATGGGGCCTCCAGGACTCAAACTTCTGTGTTTTGGTTTTTCCACTGTAGGTCTGCATGTTTGTGCATTTTTAGGGTCGATTTTATCCAAAAAAGAACCATAATTTAAATGTATGAGTTTAAATTTTAATAAAGTTGTTTGTAATGTGTAAGGAAGTAAGTGAATATATTTATATGAGGAATAAATTGGAAAACTGTCTGGATTGTTTTCAGTGCAGGAGAGCTGCAGCACGCCATGTCTCCCGGAGACACAGACGGAGCTGCAGAAAACGCTGCTTCTCCAACTCCAACATTTAAAGCAGGAGCATCAGTTTGATCAATACTCAGCCAGCAGGGGGCGGACCTGGCGATGGGTGGTGATAGCTGCCGTTTCCTCCTGCTGCGTTGGCGGCAGTGATGCCCAGCTGGGTGAGGGTGGAGGCCAGGTTCCCTGTGCTGCTGCCCCCGCTCAGAGGGGAGGGTCCTGGGTAACTGGGCTCATCCTGGTCCAGCGGCGTGGGAAGCGGTGAGGGGAAGTGGAGGCTGGACAGGTCGGGCAGCGAGCCGCCGGTGCTGGGAATCTGAGGGACGCCTTGGACCGGCGTGGACGGCTGCTCCGGGGACGAAAAGATACTAGGAGGAAATGGAGCAGAGTCAGCTGACAGACCAGAAGGCGTTCTGCTCCAACAGTTGAGCGGTTATGTGTGGCTGGACCTACTTGATGCCTGGAACCTCGCAGGACTTGGGTCGAGATGCCGAAGACGAAAGCTGGAGCAGAAAACAGAGAATTTCAGTTCAGCAAACCTCCGGGTTCCCTCAGCAGAGCGGAAGACATCATCTACATTTCAGCACCGTTAACTCCTCAGAACTGGGCCGGTCCAGTTCTGAGAAGCTAACAGAAAAGGCTCAGAGTAGAAGATGCTTCCTTCAGCTGCTTCCTCTGATGATTTAGGTTCACGGAAAAGTTTCGGGAAATGCTTGAACTTCAGCGAACCTTCTTGAGGTCCCAGGGTTTGAGCAGTTTGTCCTCATCCAGGACGTTCTCTTCGATCGGAGGAACCGGATAGGGGAACACTGCAGACAAACAACAGGAGAACATGAAGAACGTCCACTTTTCAGAGAACCGTGATGATCGGTTTGTGGCTGCATCTCATCAGAAACCTGGAGGAGAAGCAACCATTCCAGCGGAACATGTTCCTCCTTCATTTCAACCTCAGACTCACAAGGTTCTTCTACTTTAACCAAACTAAGGGAAGGTCCTTTAAAACACACTTTGGTGACAAGAAGACCCGGTTCGGTATCAACCTCCATGTCTAAGGCTACGTTCACACAGTGGCCTGAAGTGACCATAGGTGACCCAGGTCACATTCATCCAACCTGAACGCCATTAATAACAGACAAACGTCACAATTCTGCGTCTTGCTACGCAGAAGCGGCAAGAAAAAACAACAACCATGGCGGATGATGATGCGGAGAGCAGTATTTATATTGAAAAGGATGGAAATGATCGCTAGACGCGCTCCGGCAGACATGTTCACAAGTCATTTTTTGCAAGTCCAAGTCAAGTCTCTCTGCCAACATGCAGAGAGACACGCCCACTGCTGTTCACTACCCATACAGTTCTGCTAAAGCTGGACCTAGACCTACAGAATGCAGCAAAGCCCATTAGACCCAATCTATAGTTCTATTTCTAACACAGAGACAGTTTAAAGCTTCAGGTCTGATATTCTGTCCGACTGTAAGAGGAAGGAATCCGTATGTTGAGGTTCTGCTGATTAAAATTTCACAATGTTAACAGATTAATTAACAGAAAATAAACAACTTTACTAAAACAAAACATTGCCAGTAGAAATTTATGGAGTGAAATTGGGTCTAAAAATGTTGTTAAACTTTTTTTTTTTGGTGAAAAAACTGAAAACAAATCCTCTAAAATGAAAACCTGCATAAAAAGATTTAAATTGAAAAAAAAAAAAAAGTTCAGGATATAGAAAGGTCTTTAAAAGATAATCCATAATTTGCATTGATATCTTTGAGGAAAAAAAGACAAAAAGGTTTCCCAGTTTCAAAACATTTTTTTCTTGTTTCCAAATGTTTTTGGTTCACTTTAAAAAAAAATCTTTTCCAGATTTATATATTTTTTAGGGTTTTTCTAAAACTTTTTGCCTTTAAGTTTAAACAAGAGATGTTTGGGAACCCACTTTATGACCCAAATTTTGCTCCATAGTAAAAGGAGCTGAAAGCACCGATGCATCGGTTCTTCCCTCAGATGGATCCAGCATGAGGTGAAGGACATTTTTACAGCCTGGTCCTGCAGAACCAGAGCAGTTTTGTCCAACTGGCCCAATAACTGGTTTCCCTGAAGAGGAATAACTTCAAACAGAACCTAGAAATCCCCCAAGATCTCCACTGATCTGTAGAAACCCAAACTCCTTGGTTTTGATCAGCTGCGGCTAAAGAGGTTCTGGTTGTTCTACGTTATTTTGATCAGGCTGTAGTCGATGTGCGGTCCGATTCCCCCCTCCTTAAAAAAGATCCTCTCATATTTACACAAACAACAGACAGACGTTCTGGAGGCCGTTCTGGATCGATAACGGCCCGTTCTGTGATTCTACAGATCAGTGGGTTTTACTGCTGAGGTCCTGCATGACACCAGCTAACGCCCTTTGATCCAAACAGGCGGTTCTGATGAGATGCTCTCACCAACCAGGAGGGTTCACTCACTTCTTCGGTTCTCTGCGTCGCTCTGACCTGCAGAACCAAAAGACAAGAACAGAGCAGGGATCAGTCCGATGGGTTCACCTCTACTTCTCTCCAGAACCTGCTGTACCAGGAGGATTGGGTCTAATGTTCTTCTGAGGAGCATCATTTTGATCAATTGTCAGGTTTTACGAGTTTTAAACCGAAGTTCTGGAACACTTTATGCATTCTTCCTATGGTTCTGTAAAACCAGAAGAAGACCTATGCATAAGTTTGACAATATTGCATAAGTTAATCTGAATTGGATCATCAGAACTGTCCTGAAGGAGACCTTAATGCTACGTTCACACCAAACGCGCTTTGGGCAGCAGAGGCAGCTGGTTTACATGCATAGTCTGGTTGATGCGCTGTGAAAAACGTTTTTTTTTTTTTTTTTTGCATTGCCGTTCACATTTCCAAATACATGCAACTTGTATCTGATCTTCTGTTTGAACTGCATTAGTACAACGCAAGTGTCCCGCATGTGTAGTAGAGGACGCAATGACGTCACAAGCTAGCGTGCTCTGTCTGTGTTTACGGAAGTAAACATGGATGGTAGCGCTGGAGCGAATCTAGCGATCTTTCCCAACCTTAAAAAAAACAATCTTTTCAATATAAATACTGCTCTCCGCATCATCGTCCGTCATGGTTGTTGTTTTTTTTGCTGCTTCTGTGTAGTAAGACATAAAATAGTGACCTATGTCGGGTATTAATGGTGTTCAGGTTGGATTGAAAAGATCAGATTCGTATCGGATTCAGGACCAGTGAGCCAAGTGGCCTGGGTCGCATTGGAAAAAAATTGGATCTGAGTTGTTCAGACTGTCGTGAAAAGGTCAAATCCAGGTCACATTTGGGCAAAAAAATTGGCTTTGGGTCACTTTGGGCTGCAGTGTGAACGTAGCAAAAAGTTTCTGCAGCGTCTGGAGCATCTGAGATGCGTGACACGCTTTTATTTTTGCTGCATCAACCAATCAGAAAAGCTGATCTGGGAGCTGGCAGGGAGTCAGACACAGCACTGCTGCTGCAGAGCGCTATGATCACTCCTCTGAAACAGTTTATTAACGCCTAAATTAACTTAAAGTCGTGGGGAAGCGGCTGTTCCAACCAATCGTATTTCCGAATTCTCCCGAGTGGTGCCCGACTTTACACGAGTGAATAAAGTGAATGTGATTAGTCGTTTATCAAGGGGGCGGGATTGTTGTGGAGGAAGGTTAGCAAGCAAGTTTGGTTGTGGCCGGTTTGTTGGAAGCATGTTGCTAACCAGTTAGCAACTTAGTGCTAGCAGGTTCCCAATGGGAAATTCCATTGGGACCAAGTAGCACTAAATTGGTGACTTAGAAACGACGCTGTCAAGGAACGCTATGGACAGCGGAAACATGCAAGAGGAGGAGAGTTTAGTGTCGGAGGTCGTGGATGAGTCTCCTCCGTCATCCATTTTTTATTTAGAGGAGGAAAGCGGGGACGAAGATGTTGTGGAAGAGGACGCCAGGGCGGCAGAAGCTTGGTTTGGTGTAGAAGGCTTCCAGCCGTACATGTTTGAGCCCTTGCCTCGCAACGCTGCCAGTTCTGTTAGCTCTACGCCTGCCGAAGACACAGACGTCCATCCCCGTGAACACTGGGACGCAACTCAATGGGAAAGGAAAGGATTCTGATTTCAACAGTTGCGTATATTAGCTGCCACATATGAATCAAGATGCTATGACCGAAAAAATGTGATTGACAGATGACCGTTGATATATGATTGGCCGAATTTAGGTATTCAGGCTCACAAATAACCAACTGGCCTGCAGAAGATAACGAAAAAACCCCAAAGATTTTAAGACATTTTAAGAAATTTTCTAACTCATCGTCTGATAAAGAGTACATTTATATACATGTTTAAGCCAGAATGATTTGACATTTAAATATGACTTCCCCACGACTTTAAAATGTCAAAACCTGCCGGCAGAATATGTTCGCTTTTATTATCCTACTGCCTGCAGTTTGAACCACGTAGCTCAAAAACGCTAACGTCTACTTCCAGCCGCCACCAACAGTAGGGGAAAACCCCCAAGAGGCGAGCGGGCCTGAGGCAGCTGCTTCTGGGGATTCCCAGTGGCAGCGCACCGCCGGTAAGCGAGGGTCTGAGCGGCTCCAACAGCAAAATAATATTTGAATTAATATTTGAAGGCAGGATGGTAATCTGGATGAGTTTTCAGGAGGACTTTCTAACTACTTTTTACAGCAAATATAGGAAAGCCGCGCTCTGGCATTGAACGCACGCATCTGTACACTTTATAGTGTTATATGTTTATAGGCTTTACAGTCCAGAAAACAAGATCCACAGTCTGCACACTGTAAAAACGATATAGAAATAAGTCAATATTTCTTAAATTAGGGGTATTTATCCTTAATTTGAGCAGGTAAATATGTATTACGACTCTTAAAGTGAAATAATTAGTTAATATGCACTTGATATAAGACACTGCTATTGGTTTTTCTTATTTTAAATGTTATTTGTCTATTTCATTGGCAAAGCGGTCAAGAACAAATGCAATTATTTTAAGAAAAAATTACTTGGATTTTATATTTTTTGCAGTGCATATACTGGAAAAATTATCTAAAAAACAGATAAAATTTGTTAAATTAAGTGTATTTAACCTTAATTTGAGTAGATGAATGAGATAGTTTGCCAATGGGATGAGTATTTTCACTTTTAGAATAAGATATTTACATAATAATGCACTTGAAATAAGATAATGCAATAGTTTTTTTTCTTATTTTAAATATAAATTGTCTTGTTCCAAAGGCAAAATGTCTCACTTTCCTCCTCAATTCTACAACAAAAGCACTCCTTTTAAGATGAAATGACTTATTTACATTTTTTTGCAGTGCATATGTGGTCTTTCAGTGGTTAACTTCCACTTTGCTTTTAAAACAACTGACTTCCTGCCTGAACGGTGCAGCAAAAATACAGCAGCCGCGTTTTTTAGAGAAGCCCCCTGATTGCCAGCGCTTCTGGGACGCTTCTGAAAGGCACAGACGGCCTAAAGCTGCTGCCATCAGCGGCCAAGCCAGAGAGAAAGGACATTCGGTGGAACAGAGGGGGGGGATTTAACGAGGCTTCGACCCAAAGCTCCTCCTGGTCCAGCGGGACGGATGACAGACTGAACACCAGGCGGCGCATCGGGAAGCCATGTCTGGTTCTCTGTGGTGTTTGTGGACCTCCTCACCGCTGCGTCTGCCGCTCTGAGGGTTAAAGGCGGGTCCTCCCATGGCGAAGGGGTCTCCCATGGGGGGGTTCATCACGCTGGTGTGGAGGGCTGAGTCGGAGTTGGTCCTGAGGGACGAGAGACAAACACAGAGGTTCAAGAGGAGGAAACTGTGAGCTCTGAAAAGGAGGAAGACACCAGAACAAGCTGCTCGTCCTCCAACAGCATCTTCCACACAGTAAACATGGCCACAGAACTGAACGCAGCTTCTCCACACAGACCCACACTGGGCAGCTGCAGAAAAACGAGCTCGGCCAGAGCTCCCACTGACCGCTGCTGCTCAGGGAGCAGAGCAGAGACTGGAACCATCAAACTAGAGGAAAGAGGAAACATCTCTACGAGTCAGGAGGGGAGGGGAGGGGAGGGGAGGAGGATAGGAGAAGGAAGAGATGAAGAAGAGGAGGATTCACCTGTTGAGTGCTGTGGTGGGAAGACGGAACAACTGGCTTTTATCTCCGGGGAAGTTTCCAGACCAGTTCCTTTTTGTGATCGACAACAAGAAAAAGTTATTTTCCTCCAGCGAGTCAGAAACATCGGACAGAAGGCAGCAGGGAGGGCGAAGAGGAGGTGCAAGCCGAGACAGGAGGAAGATGGAGGCAGCGAGCGCAGAGCGGAGGCCTCATCAGACCCCTGGGGGGGGGGGTTTCTTTTGTTTTTTTAACCCAAGCATCAGCTTTTATTTTGAAGCTCATGAATGTTAGTAAAAATGCCTTTAGTTAAAAATAAAATAGATTTCAGGTTTGATACTAAAGAAATCCTCATTAATAAATCAAATAAAAGTAAAGTTTCCATTTCACTGCAGCTAATAAAAGCCAGAGGAACTTCCTGTCTGATCGATATTTTAATTTCAAAATAAAATGTATTTTCTGTCCTCAGATTGAACAGATTTATCTAACAAATTAATAAAAACTTCTCCATACCCCCCATTCCCCCGCCCCCCTAAGGTGTTCCACAGGGTTGAATATTTGGACAACTTCTGGTTCTCCTTTAAAACATCTCGTCACTATATAACCCATCAGCAGATCAGACATGACCCCCCCTCATCTTTTATTCAACTGCTGGTCTGTTATACAGATGTTTCAGAAAATCTACATTCATCCTATCTAGAATTGTGTTTCTATGGTAAGCAGGTTCGTCTAATCAGGTCTTTAGGGATTCCACCTTTTGTTTGTCTTTATTAACAATTTGCTATGGGGGGGGGGGTCACGTTAGAAGAAGCAAATTGAGAAGCAGATCCAAGTTAAAATGAACGAAACTGTGCAGGAAACAGATTAAGAACCCAAAAAAAAAAACACCAAAGAAGAAGAAGCAGGTGTGGAGAAGCAGCTAAGATTTCCAGCCCAAGTTGTTGTTAGTGCTTCAGCTGTTATGGGTCTACCTGTGTGTGGCCTCAGACTGACCGGAACCGGAACCGGACCCGGACCCGCTCGGTTAGCGGGCGCCTCAGTTTTTTTTTTTCAATTTGAGAATAAATTCGTAATATTATGAGAATAAAGTCATAAAATTACAAGAATAAAGTCGCCATGAGAATAAAGTCATAAAATTATGAGAATAAAGTCGCCATGAGAATAAAGTTATAAAATTATGAGAATAAAGTCGCAATGAGAAAAAAATCATGAAATTACAATAATAAAGTTGTAACACTACGAGAACAGTCATAACATTACAAGAATAAAAGCATAAAATAACATGAATAAAGTCATAAAATTAATAGGATAAAGTCGCAATGAGAATAAAGTCATGAAATTATGAGAATAAAGTCGCCATGAGAATAAAGTTATAAAATTATGAGAATAAAGTCGCCATGAGAATAAAGTTATAAAATTATGAGAATAAAGTCGCAATGAGAAAAAAATCATGAAATTACAATAATAAAGTTGTAACACTACGAGAACAGTCATAACATTACAAGAATAAAAGCATAAAATAACATGAATAAAGTCATAAAATTAATAGGATAAAGTCGCAATGAGAATAAAGTCATGAAATTGCGAGAATAAAGTTGAACAATAATAAGGTCATAAAATTACAAGAATAAAGTCATAAGTTACAAGAATAGAGTCATAATATTACAAGAATAAAAGCATATTACGTGAATAAAGTCGCAATGGGAATAAAGTTATGAAATTACGAGAATAAAGTCGCAACAAGAATAATGTCAAAAAATTACAAGAATAAAGTCGTAAGTTACAAGAATAGAGTTATAATATTACGAGATTAAAGTCTTAACATTACAAGCATATTACATGAATAAAGTCGCAATGGGAATAAGGTCATAAAATTACGAGAATAAATTCGTAACATTACTAGAGTCATAAAATTACGAGAATAAAGTCGTAACATTACAAGAATAAAAGCATAAAATTACAAGAATAAAGTTGTATTTTATGGCATCTCTTCCAAGAAGCCCTTTCTTCCCTAAAGCGAGGAATGTGGAGCATCATGTGAAGTTCTACTTTGGCATCGGTTTGACTAAAGTGGACTCTGGTTGCCGATTGGTGGAGCTGGTCTGATGTCATCTGCTGGGCGGAGCTCCAAGCTTTCTTTCTGAAATGGGTTTTTGAATGCACGACTTTATTCTCGTGAATGCACGACTTTACTCTCGCTAATGCACGACTTTACTCTCGCTAATGCACGACTTTACTCTCGCTAATGCACGACTTTACTCTCGCAAATGCACGACTTTATTCTCGTTAATGCACGACTTTATTCTCGTAAATGCACGACTTTATTCTCGTAAATGCACGACTTTATTCTCGTAAATGCACGACTTTATTCTCGTAAATGCACGACTTTATTCTCGTTAATGCACGACTTTATTCTCGTTAATGCACGACTTTATTCTCGTGAATGCACGACTTTATTCTCGTGAATGCACGACTTTATTCTCGTGAATGCGCTACTTTATTCTCGTTAATGCACGACTTTATTCTCGTTAATGTACGACTTTATTATCGTTAATGCACGACTTTATTCTCGTAAATGTACGACTTTATTCTCATAATGTCTTTATTTTCATATTTAAAAAAAAATCTCTAGCCTGGCCCCAATACTCCGTCACCAGACGGAATCACCATATGATTTATCTCTAAATCAGGAATCTGTTCGGGGTCCGGAACGCGTCAGGAGTTGGATCAAATCCCAAAACAAAACAACAAAAAACTACCAGAAAAATCAGGAATCTGACTAATCTGAAAACTGTAATCTGTTGCTCTCTTAAAAGCTCAAACTAAATCTCTGAAAGATCAACTGAAAGTTCTGCTGATCCAGACCAGGTTTTGAGGAGTGGAGATCCATTAGTCCTGGCTGGAGCTGGAGGTGTAAACCGGCTTAGCTTTAAACCCTCTGATGTGTGTAAACGGACTCTCTGTGATGCTCATCTCGCCTGCGTTAATGAAGACGCTCTGAATAAAACCACCTGAGGTCACACAAAGGTTTCAGAGGGGCTTGGAGCAGCGGGAACACACAGGCTCGAAAAAATAAGCAAACAGGCATCCCTGCAGACAGACACGTCTCCGTGGAGACGGCTGGAAGTGTGTATGTGTGTGGGGAAGGAGGGGGGGATAGCAGACACCACCTTCTCCAGCTGGCATCGGGAGGCGGGGACAGGTAGGCCGAGTTGTACAGAGAATTGTCCACCTGGGGAGACGCAGGTTAAGGAACAACAACACTACAGCATCAAAACATAAACATTCAAACTGGTTTTCTCCAAAAACAATCAAATCAGCTCCTTCTCATTATTGTTGGTTCATTAAATGTCTAATAACAGGAATATTCTGGAATATATTTGCAGATTTTAAAACGATGGATTAAAATGTTAGACGAATAAAAACAACAAAAAGCAGCTGAAAGTGGAGCAACATCAGAAATCCCATCTGGATTTACTCTCATTTTAAAATCTGATAACAAATCTGTGTTTCGTCAGAGAGAAAGAAAGTAGATTAAAGGTGCTCCGTTTAGCCTTCCTGTTATCATCTCAGAGTCTCGCTCTCTCCTGCCAACCAAGCCAAGCCACCGACTCCTCCTGAAGACGGTGGTCAGCAGAACCTGGTCTGCAGGAAACAATCCATCATCCATCCATCTGTAGAATAGGCTAAATTAAATATATAATATATATAAAAAAACATTAAATGAAAACACTAATCTGCTGCCATGGAAACCAAGGCTGATCCATCACCATCATCATCCCTGCGCCTACCTTCAGAGCGGTAGCAGCCCTCTCACCAGCTCAGCCTGCATGCAGCAGAAAAGCTCAGAGAACAGATTGAGACACGGCGTGAGGCGAAGGATACTTGGCGGTTTCGGTACGGTCGGACGGGCGAGACGAAGCGGCGGTCCCTCTGGACCCTCTCCACCAGGCCGTGATGTCGGGTCGAGCGGCTGGACTCCAAGCCGGACTGGAAGGAGCCCTGAGAGGCAGAGACGGGGGAAGAAGAGAAGATGAGGAGGTAATCTGGGGTCAGAAGACATAATCTGATCTTTTTACCTAATAGAGCAAATAGATCAGCACTCTTAGTTCTTCACAGAGGAACGTCTGCTGCAGGTAAACAGCAGCATCGGGTCCAAGCACGGAGACGCCGCTTCTAATTTTACTAGCTTTTATTTTCTTAACCTCCTTTAAACCATAACTGCTGTGGATCCCACCCAAATTAACTCCACTCAATTTCATCGTTTTTAATCCCATTCTGGAATTTGTTGATGTTCTGGGAGGAAAACCAGCATCCCTGAAACCAGCTGATTGCCTCAACTCATTGACTCTTCAGCAATCCCTCACACTAAGCATGCTTGTAGCGACAGTGGGGAGGAAAAACTCCCTTTGAACAGGAAGAAACCTCCAGCAGAACCAGGCTCAGTGTGAGCGGCCATCTGCTGAGGCCCACTGGGGTTCAAGGAGACAGAAGCAGACATAGAAAAAGAAGCATAGATACAAAAAGCAACTGTATAAGGCGGCCCAAAATAAAACCAGAAGTTTCTGATCGATGGTCAGATGTTGGGTCCATTCGCTCGGAAAAATTAATATAAAGCAATGAAATGCAAAGACTACGTCCTGTTCTTTACAGTAAAATAATAATAATTATAAAATAATCCAACTTTATTGATCTCACATTGGAGAAATTTACCTCTGCATTTAAACCATCCCCTTTGGGAGCAGTGGGCTGCCATTGTGGGGCGCCAGGGGAGCAATCGGGGGTTAATGGTCTAGTGATGGGGGATAAACCAACTTCATCAAAAATTTTATTGTTGGAAAAATCTGGATGTTTTTTTTCCTCAGCTCAGAGGGAATAAGTTCATCACTTTCTGTTCTCATACGTAAACTACCTCATATTAATGATTATATTTTATTGATCGTAGAAGGCAATGAGCTGCCAGATTGAAGGATTTAACGCAGCTTAGATTCAGCTGCACCTGTAAACTCAGAGAAGGGATGAAATAAAAGTGAATTTTTGGAAAACATTCTTTATTTTGAATCTAAAGGTTGAACTTTAAAGGCAGACAGTGTAACTTTTGGCCACTAGGGGCGCTAGACCTGCAGCTGCTTGTATTCTGCTTCTACTAATGTTGAAAATAATAAAGATATATGACTGTTTACTAGGAGCAAAGGGTTAACTTACTGTCTAATAAAAAAGTTGAAAAAAGAGAATCGGTTTTACACCCGCCTTCTTCTTAAAGTGCTAACTTATTGCGTGTTTACATCTACATGCTAGCTGCTACTTTCTATTCCTTTTTCTATGGAAGCAAACCCACTTTAAATGTGTTTCTGCCACCTGAAGCGCTGCAGTGAGAAATTTTATGCTCTTGTTAAATGTAAGGTCACCAAAATCAGTTACAGCGCAGTAAGAAAATATTTTAGTGGAATAACCAGAAGAAACTCACTTTTTCCTAATATGTGAAAAAATAAAGGGGGGCAATCGGCTTCTCTGATTGGTTGACACACATTATTCAAACTATCTTAATGAAGACATCTGATTCAGCAGGAAATGACATCATATCGGGTCAAGATCATCCAACATGTTGGGGTCCTGTATGGAACGCAAAAGCGCTCAAAATTGAATAAAGAAATCATTGTGAAATTATTATTACCCGAGTAAAAGTGAAAATCATTTTGTTACACTAATGTTAAATATTTTTATCCCAAATATTTTCAAAAAAATTACTTCTGCCTATATTTCTTAACGGTCAGAATGTTAATTTGGGCCCTCCTCTGTCCTGGGCCTGGGATAATTGATGATTAGGAGGACAAATTATTTCGATTATCCAAAACAACATCCTCCTCTATACCTTTAATTAGAATACAAGCTTCTGATTGGTTAATTTCTGAAAAATGAGCACGTATCTGATCAATGACTCAACGGATTCCCGGTTAGATTGAAGACGAGCAGAAACAGGTCAGAACCAGAGTTTATCGAACCTCTAACTTCTGCAGGTGGTTGATGTGTTTAATTAAATATCTGACCAGATTGTCACCAAACCACCTGGGTATAGGTCTGTTAATATCAGATGTGTAGCAGTGACGCAGCGGCAGGGATAAAAAGGTTTGACCGGTTGGATGGACTCAACCTGCCTTTCCTTGAACTCAGCACCTCCTGATGGGGACCATAGGGGGCGCTAGGCATATTAACACTGCACTGCGACACATTCACAGCTAGGTGTGAGACCACTGACCTCTATTTATTCACTGGATTGCTGATTGTCCGAAAAAAGTGAAGCCACCATCCGCCATCTTGGTACTCCCCACTCCCACAGAAACACAGTAAAATGCTTCCCTGTTCAGCATCTGGCTGCAAAAACCAGCAGTTTTCTGTCTGCAGGAAGACGTTCCACTGGTAATTTCCCAGTCAGTGGATAGACTAAGCAATAAATCCATCTATAGCCGATGGATCCTATAGTTTAGTCTGTAGACTAAGATTAGTCTGGCTGAGTTAGACACTGACATTGGGTCTAACGTTAGGAAATAGAAAGTAATTCACTGTGAAATGTCAATGTAGGAATTCTTAACCAAGTGGATGATGCTGTTGTTTTTTTAGTGTTTGTTGTGTTTCTCATTTGAAAAAAGTCACGTACTGAAATATATTGCATGTTATATTTACAGAAAAAGCAACTATGCATATATATATAAATAGGAAGGATTATCAGACATGTAAGATGTAATTACCGTAACAATATAATAAATACTTGTATATTACATGTACATAACCAATTAAGCACTTTTGGTACCTCTCTATTATTATGCTCCATTAACAAATACATTTTATTGTGATGATGGATTTCTATATGTTTTATTGCATGATTTATAGGCTTCATAATGAAATGTGATGGGCCTATTTTTTTATCATAAGTTAAACTTAATCTACTGATGCTATGAAACAGCCAGTGTTTGTCAAAGTGATGAATTTATCTTTATTTTAAAACTCTTAAACCCCCTGAAAATGAGAACATCATCGTTGTTCAATGCTGTAACAAACGGATTGTTTACATTGTGACCGGTCTAACTAGGGAGTACCAATATGGCGGCCGGCGGCTTCACTTCAACCCCGTACTACCAACTGGCAATCAGCGATCCAGTGAATAAATAGAAATCAGTGTGTGTGACGGACGAGCAGGAAGTGACATCAGAGCTGAGAGGGGGGTGTTTGTGGGTCACCTGGAAGTCGTGCGGGTTCCTGCCGATCTGGTTGACGTTGGGTAAGGAACCTCCGTAGTACGGCCCCTGGTTCCGGGCGAGGCGGATCTTCTGGGCCTGCAGCTGTAAAAACAAAATAGAGATCCATAAGTTGTCAGCGTGCTGCTGGTCGCCCCCTAAAACAAACTCTATATCTGGGTTTGGTCACATTAAACATGATGATGTCACACAGTTGGACCTAAACACCGATGTTAAAGGAACATTTTCCATCCTGCAGGTCTGCAGGCGGATCTGTAAACATCTCCACACGACCTAAACCACAGCAACTCTAACGCGTTTCTCTTTCTTCTTCTCTCTAGACGCCGCTGGTTTAGGTTTTTGAAGTAGAGAACAACAATCATTCAGTTTGGTTTATAGATAATTTCCTGATTCCCATATTTTCTCAAACCCCTGAACTGATGGTTTGTTATTTTCTTTCTTCTTTCTGTCTTAATGTTGGCAGTGGGCTTTAGGCTGCCCTGCAAGGCTTTAAACCTGGGTTTAACCGGAGACTAAGCCATTCTCAAGCACATATCAAGGAGCTCATTTTGAGCCTGGATCCAGATTTATTGTTGATTCTGTTCATGGTGGAGAATCCTGCTTCACAGCAGCAGGTTGAGCCAAACATCCTCTAAATGTGCAGGGTCATCTTTGAGCACGCCATTTCACTTTTCTTTCACCAGTTCACCGCAGTTCTTCCAGCAGTCCACACTTTCTATGCTCTCTTTTTCTCATGGTCTTCTCCTTCTGCGTTCCCCAACCAGCATAAAAATAAAACAACAAGCAGGTCCCATCGAGGCGTAATCAGGGAAAATGACAGACGAATTATGCTCCTGATGTCCAGTCTGCTCCGTAGCTTTGTTTTGGTCGCTTTAACCGCGGAAAATCCCGCTTCACAAAGATGTTATCGATGGGATGAGTCTTAACTGAATTAACCTGTGTCAAGAGGCACAGATGCACCAACTGATGTAGTTGGGAGAGAATACCACATTTTATTATATTTTTCAAAATAAAACATCAGTCAGACTTTTTTTTTTTTTTTTCTCTGTGCGGCCCGGTACCAAATGACCCGCAGACCGGTGGTTGGGGACCGCTGCTGTACTGTATTAACAGGAGAAGAGGCGCAAGTGAACCGTCGTCGGACATCGTGCGGTAATTTATACATGTTTTAAATCAGGTTGGGTCCGGATCCGGTCCGCTAATCCCTGACCTTTGATCTAGAAAAATATAACCTGCTTTTGTTTTATAAAACTTGAAAAAATGAACAAAAAAATTAATAAAATATTTGAGAAAACAGCCATTAATTTCAAAACCTTTTTTGGATAAAAACGTTTTTTTTTCAGAGTTTTTGTCGCTTTTTTCTTCTTCTGACAATAATGGAACAAAGTTCCCCCTGTACTTTGGCAGATAACTTATTTTTAAGCAGAAACAAAGCTTCTTTCTAACAGCTCTGCTCTCAGAGTCTGAGACACGCTGAGATGTTGGTTGAAACCTGAACATTTTCTCAGCGCCTCTTGGACTGAATCTGTGGCTCAGATCTGCTCTGGAGATATCGCTCCGATTCCTGCAGCTAACATGAAAACCGTGGAGGAGAGAGAGTGCATATCTGCAGAGAACAGCTTCAACACACACACCCAGATGCTGTTAGCTGATTGGCTGTGCCGCAGTGTGTGTTGGATGGAGGCTAAGGGATTCCCAGAAGACTAAATTGGTGGAACCACCAGTGAGAAGGAGGGGCAGCAAACGACCTTCACACAGAAAACCCAACAACCAAACTTGGAGGAGGATCACCGAGCGGACCTCGGCGGCAGCTTGGAGAGGGAGCGTGCCGAGTCTCGTTTAAGCAGAGGTGGAGCAACATCTGGATCACATCAGAGGAGGAGTTCCAGGACAACAGCAACAGCTAACCACACATCTCCATCCAAACAGCCCTAAATCAGAGAAGCCACACCGACTTCCACTTCCTGGGGCTGCAGAACATTTCAGGTTTCACCTCTCAGGCTTCACCTTCGTCGTTAGTGTTCATCCGTTCCTGCCTCATCCACGGCGTTCCATATAACGATATATTTGGGCTACATCGCGATACGCCATAAACATCACGATATGTTTTAATTACCTTCAAAAACAATGCAACACATAAAATTTCACTCAAAGTTTTGGTTTCAAAATGTATTTTCTTTTTAAGCAGCTCAAAGCTTTTCTGCCACATGATGGTTTGGGTGTCAGTTTTACACCCAGCAAGAAAACATGAAACAAAGCAAAAACGCGTAATACTAAATAAAATATAAAGTTAATTTCATCTCCAATGACTTTACTGCATATTGACCAAATTTGAAGCCGATTTCCCAAAATCCCTTAAAGCTCGACATGAGCCAAAATTAAAAATGCCAAAAATCGCACTTTGAGCCAAAATGGCCGACTTCCTGGGGGTTGTAGGGCGTACTTCCAGGAGACTATTTTTCATCATTTGAGGAGCTCTAATTGTGTGGCTTACAGTTTTCCCCAACTCACTTTAGGGGGCGCAGTGGAGTCGTTTCGGGGCGACCATTTTGGATTCCATTAAAAAAGTGCGATTTCACACAGGGGACAATTATTGGCCAAGTTTCTTGAGTTTAAAAACATGTTTAGGATCGAAAAACCCATTATTTTTGGCAGTAAAATCATCTTTTGTGTTTATTTCAATTCAATTCTATTCAGTTTATTTCTATAGCGCCAATTCCCATCATGTCATCTCAGGTCACTTTCCAGTTCACCAGATCATCCAGTCAGATTGATTCAGTTTTCTATCTAAGGAAAACCAGCTGATTGCATCGACTCATTGACTCTTCAGCAATCCCTCACACTAAGCATGCTTGTAGCGACAGTGGAGAGGAAAAACTCCCTTTGAACAGGAAGAAACCTCCAGCAGAACCAGGCTCAGTGTGAGCGGCCATCTGCTGAGGCCCACTGGGGTTCAAGGAGACAGAAGCAGACATAGAAAAAGAAGCATAGATACAAAAGGCAACTGTCAACCAGCTCCACAGGCGGCCCCGTCCAGGAAACACACAGCCAGGCAGACGAGCTCCGAGCCAGCTCCCATGTCAGAGGATGAAGAGAGCACATCCAGTTAGTCACAGTCAGAGAAACAGGACTACACTGGAAAACAGGCCAAGCTCCAACATCTAGAAACAAAGGTGTTGATGGCAGCAGCACAGCTGATATTTCTCTCCAGGATGGAGTCACAGCCAAACAGGAACAGACCAGATGAAGCTACTATGAGAAAAAGCAGAGAGAGCAGAACGTTAGAGATTGAACTAACAGATTCTGCAGAGTGGGAGAATAGAGATAGAATGAAGCAGAATGATGAAAAAGGGGTCCCTATGTCCTCCAGCAGTCTAAGCCTATAGCAGCAGAACTATAGAGATAGCTCAGGATAACTTGATTAATCAAGATTTGTGATCATAGCTGCCTCTGGGTTATCATTAAATCAGCTGCTGAGACCACACGGCTCCTCCAGGGCTAGCTTAGCATTAGCTCCTGTTAGTAAACCAGCTGCTGTCACTCTAACAGAGCTCAGCTTTTTTAGCAGGTTTGGGTGAAATCAGGTGGTTCTGGTTGTTTCTGTAGCTGCTGCCGCAGAACTTGTGGACATCTGGTGCCAAACTTTCAGATTTGGTCTTTGGACTGAACAGCTGTCCATCTAATGTGAGAAGATCCTCAGAGGAAGCGGTAGGGTTAGCCTTTAGCATGTGTGCTGTGGGGGCGGCGGGGCCATCAGAGAAAACAGCGTGATGGGCGTCGGCAGTTTGAAGCTTATCTGGGAGGAAATGGTGCTGATCTGAGAGCTGCCTGCCGTCCAGAAGCTTCCTCTGCAGCAGGTTTCAGGCTGAACGCTGCAGCAGCGCCGTCCAGAACTTTGTTCTCCTGCAGACAGGTGTTGATGAAGCACTGCTCCTCTTCATCACACATCCTGCTTTAATGGCTGCATGAGGCCTTTAAACGTTACAGAGGATCTCCTCACAGATGCTCTCTGCTGAGGATCTACTGATGAGTCCTGTGGGTTTGGACCCGGCTGCGATAGACATGACAGCGGTTCAGTTTCCTGCATGATCTGAGTTTATAACCACGTCGTTTACATACATGAGCCTTTTGCAGACAGAGAACACGATGGTTCTGCTGTTTTAAACTTAAATCACAGAGTTTACCGAGCAGAGAGGCCGGGCCAGAGGAGCAACCAGAGTCTGCTGGGAGGAGGCGGTGTCATGATGTGGGCTTGGATTGTCTCCTTTCCTCTGATGGCAGCGTTGATGCAGAGCTTTTAGAGAAACTACATCTTCTCCAGAGATGTCCGGAGTTTTCCACCGAGGAGGTGGGCGACATATCGAATATACTCGATGTATCTCCAGTTTTCCCACAAACGATAGCTATTGCAGCCATCGAGTATTTCACTGAGGGTATTCATTTTCCCACACACTCTGAATGCATCATTAACCCTACTCCAAACAGGATTATTTTAACAAGAACAACCCCGGCTACAAATGCTGGAGGAACTGTGGTATGGTCGGGACCATACCTGGATATTTGTGGTGTAAATAATAATCATTTTGTTTCGATGCGTCGATCCAACAGCCGACGATCCGATGCATCGATACGTCCGCAAGAGAATCGATTCATGTTTTTTTTTTCCTCCGGTCTATTTTTATCCATTTGCTCCTGGGCGTAATTCTCCCTCCCGTGCTGCGGTGGCGCTAAACCTATTTTGTCCTCCTACCTCGCTTCCTGGTTATACTCTTACAGCAGTGTGTTGCAGTGAACTTGACGCAGACATTTTTTATTTATGCTCAATATTGGAGCGTGGTCAGTGCTACACGCTGTGGGTCTAGATACGGCCGAGGCGGCGAGGAAGTGGGGGCGAGTTTAGTGCGGCGACGGAGGGACATGAGGGCCAAAAAGAGCGGTGATCCAGGTGGAAAAAGGGTCCCAGCGTTCTCGCGCACCTCGCTCTTCTAGCGGGTCAAACTTCACGAGTTGTTTTCCGCAATTTCATAAAAACAAACCAAGCCGGCCTCCTGTCTGCGGCGCTGTCTGCGGTCAGCTACAATGTG